GACCAGAGCTCGGAGATGGTATCGATAGGTTCACACAAGAATCCCGCTATCTCTTTGGAGTGCGCTGCGAAGGTCTAAGAATTGCGAAATTATATCTATTCTAAGGCAGCTAAATTATAACTTATTTTCTTTTTGGTTGTTTGTGCGAATTATTTAATATAATTTTTACGTCAATTTTTTCAGATCTCTTCCAAGGATGATGTTGGCAAAAGTGTGCATGAGTTGGAGAAAGCAAAGCGTCAACTGGAGCAAACGGTCCAAGAGCAAAAGGCTGCGATAGAAGAACTGGAAGATCAACTCGGTTTCGCTGAAGATGCAAGGTGGGGTTTACAAAGTTCTCCAAAATAATTATATTACCTATCAGTAATTTCTAGGCTTCGTCTTGAAGTGAACATCCAGGCTCTACGTGCGGAACAGGATCGCAATTTGACTGCCAAAGATCTGGTGAGTATTTCTGTTACTGTCCTTGTAAATGTAGCATGGCCTGCGAAGAGCTCTGAGGACACTGTTAGGTTGTCTCTGAACACTTTGGAGGGGAACTATACTGTTAATGCTATTGCTCTTGCCTTAGGTGTTACTAGTAAAAACAGTCCTTGTTCATCTTTTTTTCACTATCTGATGATTAAAAGCGCGTGCTCTCTGCTGCAAGTTATGAGTACTACAATTTCAGAGATGTATATAGTTATGTCCGAGTCGCACCATCGTCCGCTTTCCTAACTAGTTGACGCAAGAGGACAGGCAGAGAGAGAGTCGGTTCTCAAGGCGCTGTCTCGTTGAGTGGGTTGGGTCCCAGTGCGAATGGTGCGCTCATCGCCCCGCTTGCAGCGAACCTTTCGCCGCGCTTGCCACGATTTACGAGTAACGATATACAACCCAACTCGTGAGTGGTAGTTGATGCAAGGAATACAGTCCTGCGCGCTGCTGGGGATGTTGCGTGTCACAGGGGATGGGTTTGGCGCGGCTGGCGCCGCGCCAGATTTTCCACTAACTGTTGAAGTGAGCAAGCGACAACACTCTTTCATATCGCTAGTATCAGTCGTTTTCCACCAACTCTTGCCGCTTAGCCGCCTCGAGAGGCGATCCTTTGGCGCGATCGCTTTGCCACTGACATGTCATAACAGTTCCAGTCCTTCATGAAGGATAACTCGTCCTAATCTTCAATGCGCAGGACATTCACAGCTGACTGTGTACCGAATGCAGTTATGCATGCTTCAGCTCCTTTCTCTTCAGGCGCCTTCTCATGATAAGTCAAGAAAATTCATTACTTTTATGACTTGGACGAGTTGTTCTACTTGTATGACACTTGCCTACTGTATCATGGCGTCCCTTAACACGCTGACATTGGTAAGATCGCGCCAATCGACATACCGTTGCAAGCAGCTGCACATCGTTCGCAATGGGACCCAACGATTTAAGGTGGCAGTGGACCTTTGTGTCAAGTCAACTAGGTCTAGGAAACTGGGCAACAACTGCGCACTCGAGACGAATGGATAGATCCAAACAGCAAATCCACTTCTCATTAGACCTCTCTTTCCCCAGTTTACAGTCTTGTCCGCTGCGAATAATAAGGCGTGCTAGTGATGCTGGGTTTGGCGCCCCGCCAGCTCGTTCTACAACGGTTGTTGAGGCGGATGGGATGGGTGTATGTGGAGAAGTGGGCTTTGCTGTTTGGATCTATCATTTGTCTCGAGTGCGGCATTGTGCGCAATTTCCTAGCTAGTTGACTTGACACAAAGGTCCACTGCGTCAACTATCGCTGGGCTCCCCATTGCGAATGATGTGGCAGGTGCTTGCAACGCCTGTTTTCTGTTTGATGAGCCAGAATACTAACGTATATGCACTGGCGCGTCCTGGACTTGCTAAAACTTGTGGTATATCAGGCTCGCTGCTGTAACGTCAGGGGACATTGACTGCGATGTGCTTTATTTTCTTGGTGCGTTTTTGCCTGCAATGAACGATTTCCAGGAGGCTGAAGATAAGCGTCGAAGTTTGGTAAAACAGTTGCGTGACATTGAACAAGAACTGGAGAATGAACGTCGTGGCAAATCTGGTGCGATCAGTCAAAAGAAGAAGATGGAGCTCATAATCGCTGAAATCGAACAGCAACTCGATGTAGCGAATCGGCTCAAGGTCAGTTATTGTACTTTCTCGTTAACTTTTTCTTGATGTTGCCTACGTTCGGCGTTCTCTCCGTACGTTCAGCGATTTTCAAAAAGGGATCGGAATAGATCTCATTATAGGATGAGTACAATAAGCAGTTGAAAAAGAACCAACAAATGATCAAGGAATACCAGCATGATAGTGAAGAGGCTCGACAGATGAAGGAAGAAATTGCATCGCAGCTGAGGGATATCGAGCGACGACTGAGGTATTCTTGCATTTAACTCTAGTGCGAATTAGGAACTTGGATTGGATGTGCTTGGCATGCCTCTGATTGGTGATTTCGAGCACCCGCCAATCAGAGGCTATCGTCCAACAAAGTTTCGCAATAAGCGTTGATAGTGCTGTGAACTACATAAGCCTATAACTTTCTTTGTTTGTAATATTGGTTTTCTTATGCCATCGGTTTTAGATCCGCTGAAGCTGAGAATCAACGATTGTTTGAGGCAAATGAGATGTTGACGTCCCAGAAGCGGCAGCTCGAACAGGAGAAGGATGAACTGGAGGAGCACCGTGGCCGGGTACGTCGTCTGGTTTACTAGTGAATAGCCTCAGTTTGGAGTACGAGTCTAATGCTTGTTCTTTTTCAGGGAGGCACATTCTCATCGGAAGAGAAGCGACGCATGGAGCAGAAGCTGGCTCAGTTAGAGGAAGAGTTGGAAGAGGAGCAGAACAATGCCGAGATTGCTATAGATAAACAGCGAAAAGCACAGCAACAGGTTAGCTTTTCAGTTTTACCGTCTAAACCTCCATTCCCCTGGTATGCTGATGGCTCTGCTTCTAGCTTGAACAGCTCACCACCGAGTTATCGATGGAGCGGTCAGTTTCTCAGAAATCCGAGGCCGAACGGCAAGGTCTAGAGCGTCAAAATCGCGAGCTTAAGGCCAAGGTGAGTTACTGCGGATTATTTTCGATCAGATATACAGTTATATCACTGCAACTGATAGGGCGTAGGACGTGGGCATGGCTGAACCGCAGCCAGGGCAGATTTCCCCATTGGGACAAGGCCGCCTCGGCTGCGTTCCAACACGCCCCGTGTCACAGGCCCTATCGTTTGCAGGGATCACGACTAATTGTACTGAATCTTTAGTTCTTACAGATAGCCGAACTTGAGAGTACGGCACAATCACGAGCACGTGCTCAGATCGCCGCTCTTGAAGCAAAGATTCAATACCTTGAAGAACAAAATAGTGCTGAGAGTCAGGAACGCCACAATGCAACTCGGCAGTTCAGGTGAGAATGAAGTATCTTGTTCATGATTAGTTGAAGACACTTCGGGGTTACTCGAGGGATGAAGTCTTTTTTCTGTACGGGTGGTCTGATCCGCAACGTCAGAGGTGAATCGCTTTAGTGGTTCAACAGAGAGTTACCAGAATGCTGCGGTGGTCATAAGCTGGAGGAACTTCACCCGTAGAAGTTGCCTCATTCATCTGGGAACGAGCTATGCTGGCGAGCCTATATTCGTAAACATAGATGTGAAGCGTTACGTTCATGCTGCGCAGGACCGACTGTGGTTCTTTCGCGCCTTCCAGCACGTCCTCCTACTCTCTCATCGTTTGTCTCTGATCCCTCGCACGCGCAGCAGTGTCTCGCTTCTTGTGCTATTCGTCTAATCCTGCAGTCTCATTTGGACGGTTTTGTTCTCTCTTTTCTTCATAGGTGCATCAGTTACCTCATGGGAGTTCATATTCGGACCCCTAGCGCACGAGTCGCCATCACAAAATACACCTTCGAATTTCATAGAAACCAAACTGGTAATAGTGCCGTTAGCTGCATTTTTTTTCAGGAGAATTGAGAAACGCCTTCATGACACGATTCTTCAGCTTGAAGATGAAAGGCGAAATGTGGAACAGCAGAAGGAGATTGTAAGTAGTTTGGCATACTGCTAATTTTTGATAGATTTTATTACGCTTTTTTCTATCTAAGAATGTGCTTTCGACAACTGAATTTATTTCAAAACGTGGCAAGGTCTGTGCTCTCCAAACTTGCTCTCCAAACTATTGCGCCATTTCAAGAGTTCGTGTCCGGCATACTTACAGTATTGTTCGCCGTGGATGAAGGGACGTGTCAGGAAAAATGGATTTGAGGCGGCGCTAGCTCGTTTTCTGCGAGCGATTCATAAACCTCAAAAAAGGATGGTCTTGACGGGGCGGGGTTTGGTGTGTAGTGTGAAAAAGAACATGAAGAGCTGGCAGGTTGTGGCAAGGATAAGCCCCGAATCTGTCCTCATTCTGCTAATGAACTTCCCCGGAAATGTGCTTAATAGGTTGTCTACGACCGAGAGTTGTTTATGGAAGCCTTCGCTGTCAGAAGCCCCAAAACACAGTTGAGGTAATTACTGCATGACCTTTCAGCTGTTTAAGGATTTGAGAAGAGGAAGAGACTAGGTGGCCCAAGTTTTCTCTTCACCGCAAGGATGAATTGATGAAGCAAGGACCAACGGCGCCTGACTCATAGTGGGTTACTCATCAAACACAACGTTCGCTTTAGCAGTTAGCGCTAGGCCGATTGACGAATCAACCCCGAATATTGGAACACGAACACAGCGCCGAACGTGTCTGGCCTTACACTGAAAAAAAATGGAAGGTCAAAGATATTTTGAGGAAGGAACCGCGGCGCGCCGTATTCCTTGGTCCTGGCTCTGTCATCGTCGTCTTCGTTTTGGACGTGCCCACACACTTTTTGCCTTCTCAGGGGATTTATTTTCGCAAAAAAAAATCGTGCTGGAGACTGGCCTCTTAAACCATTTGGCCAATATGCTTGATGAGAGTGACGCGCACAGCAGACCCGAAGTGGCAGAATGGCCGCGCGCGCTGTTCCACCAGCAAGCTTTGTCTCAGTAGTTAGCTTTGTCTCATGAGTAGTATTTTTCTATAGATCATGTTCTCATTAAGTAGAAATTTGGCTGTTACAGGCGGAGAAATGTATTTGCAGCGAGACGAAGCAAATGCGTCGTTCAACTGGGTGAGGGAGAGAAGAGGAGATGACTCCGAGAGCGTGGCCAAATCGCGGAAATCTCCAGCGAGACAATTGCACGATACTCATCTGAATGCGAATGGACGCTCACACGACGAAAACAACATCCTACGTGCAGTAGGACAGTTCTTACTTTTTGGAACAGTTTGGTTCGCCATTTATCACGATGCATCACTATCAACGGGTGCCTTGGATATTGTATCAGTGGCAAGCATTTGTCCAGATGAATGAGTCAATTGTTACGTCATGCGTTGCTTACTCCATAAGTCAGCTTTATGACGGTAGCTGTGCTCGAGTGGTGAACAAGTAACACGTTTAGTCAAATCAGTGCGAGAGAAAAATAGAGCAAAAGTGCGTGAAAATGCTCTGGATAGCACGCGCTCCTAGCTATGACGCGTTATATAGAGGCACTGTCGAAGGAACACGAGCAGTAGAATAGAGAGAAGCAAAGGTGCACGACATAGGCGGGAGATTACGCAGTGATCTTAGCTTAAGGACAATGGTGAAATAGAATGGCTGTAAGGTGGAGATGAACTTTTCGGCGGCGGGAGACACACATGTATCTCGAATCGACCTGCAGGTCTTATCAGAGCGCTATTCTGCAGTATCGAAAAGTGGGACCTCAAGCGATGCGTTTGCGCGCCACACCACCTTGTATAGAGAGGAACTTCTGCACGTCGAGAATCGTGGGCCCAATAATTCCACCATAGGTGTCTCTTTTGCCCATAAAAAATGGGGCGTGAACGATTTTTGTTGAGAATTTTTCACTAGTGAAGCTCCGTTACTATTGTTCTATTTTGAGATTTGGAGATACCTCAACTAATAAACTCTGAGGCGGTGATCTGGTAAGTGGCACGCGCGCGGTTCGGTGGTCAAATCAGTTATCGATTCTTGCCCAGGCCAATAAGCCTTCTACCTTCTGCGAACGGTAAATCGGTACCAGACTTGTCTGGGAGAATCAGAGCACTGACTTCCACATCGGCTGGTCCCCGCAAGTCATGTATAGGCCTTATCGTTTCATTGAGCCATTACGATTTTGAGTGAAGGTAGAACGCGTGGCGCATCCCACAAAGGTGATTGTTCCACGACTATGACTTTCTTCTTTTTTATCCTTATTGTTTTCAGCGGTGGTGCAGCGAGGAGGAATCGTGAGAATATCCGGCTCCGATCGGCATACCAAATACCCGGATCTAGTGACAATTTGACTAGAAACGACGATGAAGATGGTAGCATAGGAACTGAAGGTGAATCTGTTTCCTAAATACAGTATTCATCCATGTTAGAACATTTATTTCGATCGTTCTGTATACAAGAACGGTACTTTAACGCTTCTAGTTACCGGTTCCGATCATACGGACGAGCTCAAGAAGACGACCGTCTAGCGCTATAATGTGTGGTGCAACAACGCGTCGCTTTCCTTCGTATGCAGGTTCTTATCCACGATTCAGCTGCCTTCATTGTTCATTTTCTTGTTTGCAATTCTCTGTTTCTCTCTCTCACTTACTAGCTGGGTACTAAATAACTTAATCAAAGCTCCATGTATAATATAATGCCGTAATGCATGAAAGCAGTGCGTCGCGACGCGAGCGATAACGCGTGCAAGTTATGCATGCACGATATCGATTGTCGTGTCGACAAGATGATGACACTGTTTCGAACGCCTTATGCGAACTCGTAGTTATTCTTACTTCTAATATCGCCCTTATAGTTGATAAGCAGAAACCGGTGTCTGCGCCGCCTGTCCGCAATGTGTCAGAGTGTTTTTCCTTTACTTTTTAATTTCCTCTAACTAGTAATCATCAACGCCTATCTATTGTTTGTAAGTTTCATTTTGAATTGTTATATCTGATTTTTGATATAACGATGACAATACTACATTTCTTCTATCTGCTCTCGCCGCCCGCCTTCTTAAGGACGTTCTGCCCGCCCTTAATGGAAATAGTTTTAATATTCGCAATGTTTGTTTTATACTTTCAACAATTAAAAATCCTATCATCTGTAAGTGTAACGAAGACCGGTGTTGTGTTGTGTGGCCACTAAGTTGTTGCCCCTCCTCATCATCGTTGTCCATCGTTCTCTTCCTCCCATTCATCCTTCCATACCTGTCATCCTGTCATACCTATCCTCTCTGACTTCTCCGATACCTTTTTGTCCGCGTAGGTGATATACGTGGAAACAGTTGTCATAGAATAGTTGATGAAATTTTATTCGTTGTGAAGCGACAAGGCGTCGTGACACTCACTAACTGCACATTCCTTTTTTTACGTTGCAACGTTAACGGCGCTTTATTTATCCTTACTTGTTCACTTACGAATACATTGTGCTGATTCACGCTAAAGAGTAATAAATAATTAAAATAATCGACATGTTGGCATCATATTAGGCCACCAAGATGTGAGTACAGGATAAGAGAACAAGGCCCCAGAAGAGGGCCCGAGGCCGGTTTTCTGATTCACCGCCTCGTCCTACCGCCTGGAATTGTAGTGGGCTTTAAAAGGCGATGTGGCCTTCACAGTGACTGCGAGGACCAGCCGATGTACAACTCAATGTTTTTATCGTCCCAGAAGAGCCTAAAGCCAATTTACCGGAGGGCAGAAGGGTCGGTTGGAATGGGAGGAAGCAAATTCGGGACTTGAACCTCGGACTGCTCGCGTGCTCGAACTTGCTAGTACATCACCTCTGCTTTGAAGAAATGAATACGGGATAAAAAGACCAATATAGAGTATTCGGGAGATTAATCCTTTAGGAACGCCCCGCCCATCGTACACCACCTTCGGCATTATTGGCTTGTGCAATATCTTCTTTTCCCTACCCTTAATCCCGCGCCGTTGAGGGACCGCTGTTCTTGTTAACAGTCGTCATGTTCTCCTTCCAGGGCCGTCCTCTGCACATGGCCTTCACTTCAAAAAGGTGCTTTCTGAGCACTCCTTCCACCTTTGGCTCCTCGTGGTCGATTGCCTTGTGCTTCGAAGTTCAGTGCCTTCCTTCCCACATGTGCCCATACAACCTTAGTCGCTGCTCTCGTGCCTTCAGCTGTTGAAATTGTATGCGTATGCGACCGTCAGGGTCAAGCATACGTCGCGGAATCCACGACGAAGGGGTCGTATTCGGCTCCCTTCAGAAGGGGTGGGGGTCGTATTTGCAGAGACCAGTACTGAACACAGCATCGACATGTAGCTTGCAGGATGGGTGATGCGTTCGGCAAGGAAGTCGAGTACCTGGTGCATTCCATGGAGAAGTTGACCAGCACTCCTGCCGTAGAGCATCGCCGGCCCTACCACTGTCCGGTACACCTTGCCTTTGAGGGTTCTTGGAGCATCGCCGATCGCAGAGAATACCGGTAGACTCCCTCCACTTCATCCAAGCCGCATTTATTCGAGCCTTTACTGCCTGGTCCACGCCACCGTCATGGGCCAGATCGCTTCCCAGGTAGCGGAAGTTCTCCACCCTCTCGATGGATTCTCCATGACTGTCCTGGATGGGCTCGTTGCACTCCTCGGAGCTCAGGAACTTAGTCTTCTTGACGTTCAACCGTAGGCCATTCTCGGCCAGTACCTCCTGCCATTTTTGCACCTTCCCTTGAAGTTCTTCTCTGCTTTCCGCTATCAAGGCAATGTCATCGGCGTAGAGGATGGTCTTGAGTTGTAGATTGCAATATAGGCTATCTAATTGCTCACGGTGTACAAGTCCATGTTATCGTCCTCCCGGTTAAGGTTAATTACCAGTCCCTCCTTTAGTACTAATGTACCTGTTTCGGAGGGAGAAAAGGCTTGGTTGAGCACACGTACCGTACACTAACCCGCCCTGAACACAAGTGATATAGAACAATTAAGTGGAAGGGGCACTTGTAAAAGAGAAAAGCGTAGAATCGTTGGAATGGCGCACATGCGCAACGGCGAACATGGCGTATCGCCAGGATCCAACCCTTAGAGGTGCCATGCATTTCCGGCTTCTGGCTTTAATCACAGGAGTATCGCATTATGTATCTGGCCATTCACAGCCTGGGCTACATGGAAATTCAGACTTTCAAATCAATCTATCATCTCTAGGAAAAGTCAAATTAGATAA